GCTACTCATCAACTCTGCAACCTGTTGTGATTCACTACCATTAGTGCAGTGTCTCACAATACTTTCCTTCATGTAGAATTCATTTAACAGTTTCGAGCCAAACTCTATACTACTGTCAATCCATACATGCCTGATTATTTTACCAGTCTCCTTTTCGATCAAATCTCTCAACTGCCTGATCCTGACAACAGCATCAAACTTGTGCCTAAGCACAAACACCCAGGTCTTCTTCGAGTAGTCATACACAATTGCTAGCATAAATCTAGCACTCTTCCTAGAAGGAAATAGCAACAATTTACGAACATCCAAGTAAATTAACTATGCAATCTCCGTGGTTTCTCTTATAGCCGTACTAAACTGCACTTTCCGCCGTTTACCTAGGTCACAGCACCTGCATACATTTAGTTCATGACACACGGCAGAGTCCTTTTACTTAGAACCTTTAGGCTTCTCTTGCTAATGTGCCACAAACGTATATGCCACAATTCAGACTCTCAAACAGATGCATATGACGTCTTCACAGCGAAATTTGTCACACTCTCATCTTGAAGCTCATACAATCCATTGTGCTTGATTCATCTCATTATCACCAGGGCACCTCGAACAACCTTCAAAACTCCACTTTCTAAAGTATACCGACACCCAACTAAATCCAGGGCGCTCAAGGAAATCAGGTTCTTCTTCAACTCTAGAACATGGCACACTCCAGCCAATGTCCTCATGATACTATCATCCATTCTGATTCTAACATCGCTAACAACCACGACATCGCATTGAGTATTGTTCCCAAACTACACTATACTACTATCCATGCATTGATAAGTAGTAAACTAGTTCCTATTTGGTGTAATGTGAAATGAATAACTAGAATCCATAATCCATCCATCAAATGATGAATAATCAGTGACAGACAAAACATAATCAACACTATCTAAATTACTATCAACTACAACTTCAACATGATTGTAGACTCGACTCTAATTCCCTTACCCTTTTCGTTCTTCAGCTGAAGGCAATCCCTTCTAAAATGCCCCCTCTTGCCACAACTCCAACAAACAGTACCGCCAGTCCTAAACTGACTATGTTTGTTCAAGTTTATACTACTCCTGCTAACACTATTACCGGTTCTTCCTCTACTTTCACTTACAATAAGAGTAGTATATTAACTATTAGGCAATAAGGATAATAGAATCAAAATATGTACCTCATCTTCAAAATAAATATCAAATGAACTCAATTGACTAAGGATCACATTGAATTCATTGATATGATTAGCAACTGATGCACCTTCGCTCATCTTTAAGTTAAACACACATCATATCAGATAGACCTTGTTAATCGTAGAGGGCTTCTCGTACATGTCTGACAGGGCTTTCATCAGTCCCGCTGCGTTCTTCTCTTTTACGATGTCAAACGCGAAGTTACGAGTCAACGTCAGCCTAATAACACCCAATGCTTGTCTATCCAACAATTCCCATTCAGCTTGCTTCATCAACTTAGGTTTCTCTCCAGACACGAGTAAGTAGAGTTTTCTCTTATACAAATAATCATCAATCTACGTCTTCCAGAAACCAAAATCATTCCCATCAAATCTGCTGATTTTTATTTTTCTTTCTTCTGTCGCCATCGATTCACTTTTTCAGCCAAGCCTAGCTATGATACCAAGTGTTGTGAAAGCAAGTGATTGAATAATAAAATAGACAAAATAGGAAAATAAATCGGATACCAAATTTATGTGGTTCGGTCGATGTGACCTATGTTCACAGAGAGAGAAGCAAAGAATTTCACTATAGGTCAAGCACTACAGCGGACAGTACAACTACATTCGAGGGCAAAAGAACACTATAAGTGCCATAACTTGTGTACGGAGATCACTTTGGTGCCATAACTTTTTTTCGGATCACTTTGGTGCCAAGTCGGAGGAAAAATGATCACTTAAGTGTCATAAGTTTTTTTTGGATCACTTCAGTGCTAAAATTTTTGAAAAACGATCACTTAAGTGCTAAAATTTTTTAAAAACGATCATTTAAGTGCTAAATTTTTTTAAAAACGATAACTTAAGTGCCAATCTCCGGCGAGCCACGTCAGCTTCAGAAATTAATAAAAAAAATGCCACGTCGGATTTCCGGCGAAAAATTGTGTACGGCACCGGAGTTGGCACTTAAGTGATCGTTTTTCAAAAAATTTAGCACTTAAGTGATCGTTTTTCAAAAATTTTAGCACTAAAGTGATCAAAAAAAAGTTATGGCACCAAAGTGAGCGCCGTACACAAGTTATGGCACTTGTAGTGTTCTTTTTTTGCCACATTCGAGTCACTCAAACACTTTCAATGTTCCCTAGCCCCCAATAACTCACATGATGTTTAGCCTCACAATTCCTCACGAAATAATCTTCAATCTCATGAAAGAATTACACAAATATTACCACAAGATTTTGGTTATCAAACACTAACTAATCAGGACACAATTCTTGAATAGTTTCTCCAACAATTTTCACGAGAACTTCAACAATTGGACTAGACCACTGCTAAACGATCACGGCGCTAACTGCAATATACATGCAAGCAAGACACGCCCAAGAGAAACCCACAAATACATTGATATATGCCACCGCCAGAGGAAGTCCCAAGTAGGACCGTTCAAAGAAATCCAACCGAGTCAAAATAGGCAAGTGGATATAAGCCTTTACATTTCTATTTTTCTTTGCTTGCGTCCACTCTGATTCGTAATCTGCTTTCCTCGATTTTAGACATCCACAAAAACATTAAACTTTCGTGGACTTTCCTTAAATCAATCTCGGATCGGATTTTCTCTAACGGGCTCAAACTCGAGACTTATTTTAACAAACATCTTGAGGTTTGTCATTGGAGATCACTTTAGATCTTGTCTTATTAGAGGATGGTAAGTGCTATTTTTTAAAAATAGAGGGTAAGGGTAATTGGGTGAAATGTAAGGATGGTTTTTGGTATTTTCCTTTTTTTAATTTGGTTGGGAAAAATTGAGAAAACTAACAACTAATGGTAGCTCCATAAATCTATATCTTCTTTCAAATTACACTCAAATCATTTCAGCTGGACAAGCAGAAAGTTTAAAGGACAGACCAGCAGACAAATTTCTCTAAGCCAGAGTACTTAGAGAACCTAAATGTAATGAAAAGAAATTCATCATCGCGGTAATCGTCCGCAATTAGAAGTCCACATTAGTCAACTAAGTCCTTAGCATAGTTGCTTGTCTTTGAAAAGAAGCTGCAATCAGCGGCAATAAAACGATCCTTGAAAACCAAACACTACAAAAAAAGCCGGGTTTTGCCACGAAAAATTTGGCAAAATTCATGGCAAAATGAATTTAAGACGAAATTAGTGACGGAAAAAATTCGTCGCTAATAGACCGTTGCAAAATTTTGCCACGGAAAATTTCAATTTTCGTGGCTAATTTGCGACGAAAAAAATTCGTCGCTAATTATTCGTTGCAAAATTCGTGGCTAATTTGCAACGAAAAATAATTCGTCGCAAAATTTGTCGCTAATTATTCGTGGCAAAATTCGTGGCTAATTTGCGACAAAAAATATTTGTGGCAAAATTCGTGGCTAATTTGCGACGAAGTATATTCGTGGCAAAATTCCGTCGCTAATTTGCCACGAACATTATTTTGTGGCAAAATTCGTCGCTAATTACTCGTGGCAAACTTCCGCTAAATATTCGTGGCAAAATTCGTCTGTAATTTGCCATGAGATCTATTCGTGGCAAAATTCGTTGATTATTTTTTTTTGTTGGTCGCGAAATTGCGACGAAATATTTTCGTGGCAAAAATCGTTGCTAATTATCCGTGGCAAAATTTCTCGCATTTCGTGGCAAAATTCGTGGCTAATTTGCCAAAAAAAAATTTCATTTTTTTGCGACGAATTTATTCGTGGCAAAAGTCGTGGCTAATTTGCCACGAACACATTTCGTGGCAAAATTCGTGGCTAATTTGCCAAAAAAATCTAATTTTTTCAATTATTTGCACAACTTATTCGTGGCAAAATTGTGGGTAATTTGCCACGAACACATTTAGTGGCAAAATTGTGGCTAATTTGCGAGCAAAATTTATTTTTCAATTATTAGCGACGAAATTCTTCGTGGCTAAAATTCGTGGCAAAATTCGTGGCTAATTTACCACAAACAAAATTCGTGGCAAAATTCATGGCTAATTTGGGACCATATTTTTCTTGTTGGTTTTTTGCGACGAACTTATTCGTGGCTAATTTGCCAACAAATTTTTTTTTTGGTCAGTATTTTGCCACGAAAAATTTTGACTTTTGCGACGGACATTATTCGAAAACGAATTTGGCGACGAATTTTAATGAATAATTTAGGGACGAATGTTGTTTAGGGACGATTTCGATTTGAAATCTAATTAACATTGGTAGAAAATCACAGTCAAGACAAGAACAAACCCCAAAAAGAAAGAAATGAAACAAAGTTCTAAATTAGCCAGTTCGCAAACTATTGTAGCAAACTATTGATCTTGCCAAGAAGTTCTTTCACGTTGTCTATAGTGTTCTCCAAGAATCGAAGTCCTGTCCATCTGCAGCACAAACATCACAATATCAAACTCCTAACCCCTGTTAATTTTTTCACATCTATTCAACAGCAGAAGCATAAAGATATAAGTACCTCTTGGAAATTTAAACTAGCAAAGATGATCATCATCGTCAGCATCATCATCAGGAATCTCATTATCATCATCATTGTGGCCATCACCTACTGGATTAGTAGGAGGTACAGGAGGAACGTCATCAGCTTCGAGGTTGAGGTGTCGCATGATCAATTGCAAACGTTTTTTTCACTCCTCTCATTTCTTCGTCCTTTTGTACAAGTAATTGTTTCAGGTGGTTCAATTCTTGGTCCGTTCGCTCCTCGTGTTGTGCCCTTAAAAAAGCCGCACTGGAGGATGAAGTTGCAGCAGCCAGCGTTCTGTACATCCTTGACAAGGATCCCATTCCAAATATTTGACTTCTTCTCATTCCACCCGATGCCTCCATCCATAATGCCATAATATCTCGGACGCAGCAACACTATCACCGTCACCATCACCATCACCACTAGCAGCAGCCGTGCTCATTACAAGTTCATCATATTTGTCCTACATTAACAATATAGATAAAAATAAAAAAAACTTAATATATATAAATACAAAATATAACCTTACATACCTTAATAGCTTTTGCTCGATTGCCAGTCCAAGTCTTATCTTTTTTCTGAAAGGTGTGTTCAAATGTAGCCATAAATGTTGGTTCCGTCCCCAATTCATCTGCCTACAAAATATAGACATAATTACGACATAATTATTGATTTAACTTACAACATGTTTAAAAGACTTACCATTCTTTTTCTATGCTTCTCGATATTGATAGAGCCCCCAACATATGTGGCAGACCCTTCACTAGAACTAGAAGCTCGATTCTTCTTATTAATTTCACTGATTTGCTTATGCTTTTCGGTGTCCCAAGTGCTCTTAATTTCCGCCCAATTGTCAGCTGTAATAAAATCTGACTTTTCTTGACTTCTCTTTGCTCTATTCATCACATTTCGCATGTGATCATCGGCTTTCTTCTTAAAATTTCTTTTAACTTCTTTCTCTTCCGCTTCATCCCACCTGAACTTCCGCTGCAAGCAATCAATAGAAAAATAATTGTACACTCAGTATGCTAAATCGAACTTAGTTTGTGAGGAAATAGAAGGACAAAACTTACCTTGAACTCATTCCACCACAATTCCTTTATTTCTTTTGGAGCGGTGGTCCAACTACTATACTGCCCCATCCAATAGTTATTGATTATTTTATTAAGTCTCCTCACAACATACGTAGCATCCGTGAATCTGCAAACGGGTTATAACGATTTCAACATACGTAGCATCCGTGAAGCATACGGACAATTCAGTTGACATCCATAATAATTCACATATACTTAAAAAAATGAAATACTTACGAATCTCCAAATGGGGCTATCATGAATCGGGTATCTTCTTCATAATTCGAGTGTTGTGTTGAAGAAGAAGGCGGAACCGAAGGCGATGGAACTGAAGTAAATTCAGTTCGCATTTGAGGGTCGGAGGAAGGGCCAATGTGTCCATGTACTAGTTGAGGGTTAGATTAAAGGGTAGAGGAAGCGGAAAGGGACGGGGACGAGGACGAGGAATGGGAAGGGCCTAGTCTTCTTTGTGAAGCATCACCACGACGCATGTGACCTCCACGTTTATACTAAAAGTTGCAAGGTTAGACAAAAATGTAAAAAATTATGAACATGTATTAGGGACACATAATGACGTACGTCGTGAAGCTTACCATTTTGTTATTGAGAGCAAGAGAGAAACTTGGCCCCTGAAAAAAAAAGGAAGCTATCCGGAAATGACTACCAGCTAAATTTCTAGTCCTACAATAGTAAAAAAGGGAGAACTCATCTAGCTGGTCAGGGTCATCAAATTTTCAGTTAATTGCTGTAATTCGACTTGTTTTAAAATTTAATTGCATGTTTTGAAAGCCTTAGAACTTAATAAGTTACACTTTCACAACAAATTTTATGATGCAAGGAAATCAGTAAGTTCTGTTCAACAAATTTTAATAAGTTTTGATTGCATGTTTTATGGTGCACATATCCCTTTTAAATGACTATATCAACTTCAACATGGAAATCAATAAGTTTTGAACAAGTAATTATAAGGCTTTACCCCGAAGGGAGCCATTCCAGAAATTCTCGATGGCCAAAGCTTCAACTTAGGCCAAAGAAGGTTTGGAAATAGTTTTCAAAACCCATCTAAACTACTCCGAAACGAAAAAAAAAAAACGCAAATGTCACGGAAAACACTATTCACAAGAATCGTTTTTTGCCAAAAAAACCCATCTAAACGACTCCAAAAAGCCAAAAAACGACTTGCGTCACGGCCATAGGATGTGATTTTGGATCAGCGGGCCGTTTCCACTTGACCGACCAAATTTCAGCTCATTCCGACCACATTTCACCTCATTCCGACCAAATTTCAAACGAATTTCAACTAAATTTCAACCTAAATCTAACCAAATTTCAGCTCATTCCGACCAAATTTCAACCTAAATCTGACCGAATTTCAACCTAAATATGAGGAATTTGATTCTGTTTCGTGAGCGAAACAAAAACAGAACCATTCTATTTCGCCCACGAACAGAACGCAGCGAAGCAAACCCAACACGAAGCCAACACGTACGGCCGAAGCACGGAAGCGTGAAGCACATAAGCGCCCACGAAACATAACTGTTTCGCCCACGAACAAAACAAAGCAGAAGCACAGAAGCGCCCACGAAACATAACCAAATTCGTGGGCGAAACAGTAACGAGCGGCGGTGCCCAACACAAAAGCCAGCCAACACGAAGCGAAGCACGAAGCATAGCGAAAGGTATGCACCCAAATGTAGACCCAACACAAATATCAGAACAGAAGCATAAGCAGACGCAAACGCCCAGAAATAACGCCAAAAAGCAAACCCAAGCAAACGTACCTCTCGTTTCCCAACAGAAGCAGACCGAACACTCTCGGACGCCGCCGAAGAACCCAACAGAAGCAGACCGCGCGCTGGGTGTCCTCGCTTCCCAGCGTCCGCCGCCGAAGAACGCCGAGAATCGCGCCGAAGAATGCCAAAGAACGCCGAAGAACGCCAAAGGTCGTCGAGAATCGTTCGACCGAGACTTGCAACAGAAACAAAGAAGAGGGAGAAGACAGAGACAGAGAAGAGGCAGATGTTGGAGAGAAGATTGGTTCGATCGTGAGAAGATAAGAACCCTAATTTGTACCCGCACATGAAGACGATGCCGGTTTGTGAATTTCCGCTGAAATTAGCCACGGATTAAAAATCGTGGCTAATATCGTGGCAAATTAGCCACGGAATAAAATTCGTGGCTAATATCGTGGCAAATTAGCCACGGAATAAAATCCGTGGCTAATTTGCCACGTTATTAGCCACGAATTGTTATTTTGTCGTGGCTAATTTGCCACGATATTAGCCATGAATTGTTATTTTCCGCGGCAAATTCAATCGAAATATAAAATTATCACGGCAAACACTAATATTTTTGGCTTTTCATGAAATCCGTGGCTAAAATCCGTGGCAAATTTGCCACGGATTTCGTAAAAAGCCCAATATTATTCATGTTTGTGGGTTTTTTTTTACGAAATTCGTGGCAAAAATCCGTGGCAAATTTGCCACGGATTTTAGCCACGAATTTCATGAAAAAAAGGACGTAGGCATGTGTATACGCATTTTTTTCACGAAATTCGTGGCTAAAATCCGTGGCAAATTTGCCACGGATTTTAGCCACGAATTTCGTAAAAAAAAGGACGTAGGCATGTGTATACGCATTTTTTTCATGAAATTCGTGGCTAAAATCCGTGGCTAATTTGCCACAGATTTTAGCCACCGATTTCATAAAAACCCCAAAATTCATATTAGGAAATTAATTCGTGGCTAAAATCCATGGCAAATTTGCCACGGATTTTTGCCATGGATTTCTTGAAAATTACTTAGTCATGTGAATGGGATTTTTTCATGAACTCCGTGGCTAAATTCCGTGGCAAATTTGCCACGGATTTTAGCAACGGATTTTGAAGAAAAAAAAACGACGTAATCGTTTGTATAGACATTTTTTTACGAAATTCGTGGCAAAAGTCCGTGGCAAATTTGCCACGGATTTTAGCCACATATTTCATAAAAATTTTGCATGAACATGAATAATATTGGGCTTTTTATGAAAAATTAATTATTCATGTTTGTGGGATTTTTATGAATTCCATGGCTAATTTGCCACGGATTTTAGCCACGAATTTCGTAAAAAAAACCCACAAACATGAATAATATTGGGCTTTTTACGAAATTCGTGGCTAAAATCCGTGGCAAATTTACCACGAATTTCCTGAAAAAATTCCCACAAACATGAATAATATTGGGCTTTTTATGAAATTCGTGGCAAAAATCCGTGGTAAATTTGCCACGGATTTTAGCCACGAATTTCCTGAAAAAATCCCACAAACATGAATAATTTTGGGCTTTTAGCCACGAATTTCATGAAAAAATGCCCATACACATTCCTACGTCCTTTTTTTCAAAAATCCGTGGCAAATTTGCCACGGATTTTAGCCACGAATTTCATAAAAAGCCGAAAAATTATTCATGTTTGTGGGATTTTTTTACGAAATTCGTGGCTAAAATTCGTGGCAAATTTACCACGAATTTTTGCCACGAATTTCGTAAAAAGCCCCAAATTATTCATGTTTGTGGGCATTTTTTTCATGAAATTCGTGGCTAAAATCCGTGGCAAATTTGCCACGGATTTTAGCCATGAATTTCATAAAAAGCCCAAAATTCATTTTGTGAAATTCGTGGCTAAAATCCGTGGCAAATTTGCCACGGATTTTTGCCACGAATTTCATAAAAACCCCAAAATTCATTTTATGAAATTGTGGCAAATTTGCCACAAATTTTAGCCACGGATTTCAAAAAAAATGGATGTAAGCATGTTTGTGGGCATTTTTTCATGAAATTGGTGTAAATTCGTGGCAAATTTGCCACGGATTTTAGTCACGAATTTTGTTTCTACTATCCCACACCCGTGTAATTCATTTTGTTTTCCGGACAATAACATTTCATTAACAATAATAGCAATAATAATATTCAACAACAATTACAATAATAATAATAATAATAATAATAATAACAACAACAACAACAACAATACTAATAATTACGACAACAACAATAAACTTTTGTCATAATAATAATAATAATAATTACGACATAATTAGTAAAAAGTCTCAAAAATCTAAATCTTCATCTTCACCTTCGTCTTCATCTTGATCTTGATCTTCTTCTTGAGCATCATCGTCATCATCGTCATCATCATCATCCTCATCATCCTCATCATCCTCATCATCCTCTGTCTCAAAATCAGATTCTGCAACACCTTCTAAATTTGATTCGCGAATTTCGGTTAGATCTACATCTATCATTGCTCCACATGGATCTCGTAGAGTAGGAATGTTATATTCCTCAGTTTGAACCGCGTTACAAACTTCCTCTTGTTGATATGCTGTATCCTTCCAGTGTTCCTCAATTTTTCTTCGTGCTTTGGTTTTACATACAGCCTACCAATCAGCTTTGTCACGTTTCAAACTAGGATATGATGCACAATATACTTGAATTGCTTGTTGTGCCAACACAAATGGTTCATATTTCTTATACCTTTTCTTGTGATTTATTTCAACCAAATTAAACTTCGTATGCACCTTCATTCCTTTGACGGGGTCGAACAACATGCACTTAAATAACACAACCCGCATTAATGGTCCGGGGTACTCTATCTCGATGATTTCATCCAACAAGCCATAAAAATCATCTTTTGAACTACCACAATTGGATAACCGAACACACACACCATTATTCATTGTGGCTTTTCCCATTCCATATTCTTGAGTGTGAAAATTATACCCGTTTATGAAATATGCTGGCCAAGTTCGTATGCTTGACTGTGGACCCCATGACAGATAATATAGCAATCCTTGCTCTTCAACTTGATCATGATTACTGTGAACCTAAGATCACACACGCAAAGTCAATAATATATATTTAAATGATGTATAAAATATTAATAACTTGGTTTTGGTCTATAGGCAACTTACATATGTTTTGAACCATGCTGCAAATTGTTCATCACACAAACGGTCGAACTCATTTGATGGTAGTCCATACATTGAATTTTGAAAAATCCTATTAACAATTTACATTTATATATTAGTGAATATTTGACACGCAATACATATATTTACAAATATACACTTACTGGAAGTATGGCTCCACTTCTGGACAGTTCAGTAAAATATAGGTATGGGCTGCCTGTCGTTCTTCGCCTGTTAAGCAACGAAACTGGCATGCGCCGCTTGGTCTACCGAGATAATTGAAAATAGAGAATGATTTGCAATTGGGATCGATGGGACCCTCATCATTTCTTCTTGCTCTCCGCCTCTTGCACTGCACGTGCGGCTCAAAATAGTATGATGCAAATGTTGTTACTTCTTCCACAATATATGCATTACAAATTAAAGCTTCAACACATGCCTTATTCTTCACTTTTTTCTTCAAATGATATAAGAACCTTGTTGCAATAGAAAGAAGTTTATCAAAACATAATATATAATAAAGTATTTTGAAATTTATTTTGAAAATTTTTTACTCTCAAATGGATACATCCATCGAAATTGGACGGGACCTGTAACTTTGGCCTCATAAGGCAAGTGAACTAAGAGATGCTCCATTGAATCAAAAAACGATTGAGGAAGTATCCTTTCTAAATTGCAAAGAATAATTGAAATGTCTCTCTCCAGTTTCTCCATGTGTGATGCTTTTAACATTGTTGAGCAAATATCATGAAGGAAATTACTTAACTCTGTAATGGCGCCCCATACAAAGTTTGGTAGAAGTTCCTTCAAAGCTATTGGAATTAGTCTTCCATAAATATGTGACAATCATGACTCTTTAATCCTGTCAACTTGTATTCGTTCAAATCAACACATCTCCCGATATTCGAAGCATATCCATCAGGAAACCACACAGATTTCAACCATTGACAAACGACTCGTCTCTGCTCCTTATCCAATGTATAAACTGCTTTTGGTTTTGGTCCCTTGTTGCTTGCATCCACATCTAATGTTGGCCGATCACAAATATCTCTCATATCTTTTCTTCCATTCAAGTTGTTTTTTGTTTTTCCCGTGACATCCATCACAGTATTTATGACATTGTCGAAAACATTCTTTTCAATGTGCATGACGTCAAGATTATGATGAATAAGATGGGCCTTCCAATATGGTAGATCCCAAAATATACTGCGTTTAGCCCACTTATATGCACTTCCGTACACAATAGTTATGCCATGAGGGTTTTCAACAACAGTTGGAAAGTCCTGCACTTACTCCCATATTTGATCACCGGTCAACCTCAATGGTGGAGGAGTTCTTTCAATCCTATTCTTGATGAACTCTTTTTTATTCCTTCTGAATGTATGATTCATCGGCAAAAATTGTCTGTGACAGTCAAAATAGCAGGGCTTCATACCATGCCTTAATCTGAATGACTTCGATTTCTCCAAACATATCGGACATCCTAAGATCCCAGCTGTACTCCATCAAGATAACATTCCATATGCTGGAAAGTCATTTATCGTCCAAAGAAGAGCAGCCTTCATTACAAATGTTTGATTAGTAGAAACATCATACGTAACGACACCTTCATTCTATAGCCATTGTAACTCTTCAATCAATGATTGCATATAAACATCTATCAACTTTTTCGGATTTTGCGGGCCGGTCACGATCAATGTCAAAAACATATAAGGTGTCTTCATGCACACATACCGGGTGGAAGATTGTACGGAGTTAAGATAACTGGCCAACATAAATAACTTTTTCCTAATTTTCCAAATGGGGCAAATCCATCAGCACAGAGACCTAACCTGATGTTTCGAGGCTCTATCGCAAACTCAGGGTATGTTCTATCAAAATGTTTCCATGCCTCTGCATCTGAAGGATGACACATTAGACCCTCTTCTGTTTCATGATTTGCATGCCAAGTCATGTGTTCAGCAGATGGCTTGAGACGCATAAAGCCTTTGCAATCGGGGATTAAGGGCGGATAAAACATTTGCTTGCATGGTCTACGCTTCTGATTACGACCCTGCCTCCTGTTAATCTTGTACCTAGGTTGACTTCAGAATTTGCAAGATTCTGCATTTTCATCATCTCTCCAATATAATATACAACCCCTACTACATACATCAATCCTT